AAGAAATGATAACTGCTTGAGGACATAGGTATGTTTAGCCTAATTTAAACATTACACAATATATAAAAATATCAACATATCAGATAGTAGCCCATTATAAGTGCCATTTTTTTGTTTTTATGTGTCAGCTGAAAAAGAAAAAGGAATTTTCTCAGTACAGAAGCTACTTTTGTCTTGTGTACAGTCCTGGCTAAGTCAGACCATATTCAAAAAGCACTGGAAGACACTCACTTGCTCTTGGGGATAGCTCATCACATTGCAAAATCAAAACTTCCACAGTAAAAGAGTTACATGGCCCTTCAGGATCCGGGCAAGTTGGAAAAAGTAACCGAAGATCTTTGTTGGCACAAGAGCTTGTCCTCTGTAGAAAATGCTGCTGGTACTTACACACATATTCTTTTCCCAGCTTCTATAAATGCTGGATGCCTGCTACCTATAGTTGCCTCAAGAAAATTTTAAATTTGGGGAGATTTTTCCTCATCCTCCACTCCAGCTCCTGTCACCTCCACCTCTACTACCAAAGGGGGAGCCCAAGGACCAACTCATAGGGCTATTTAAATACTACTGGCCTCCTTGCCTCAAGACCAGTGGAGGCAAATTTAAGTTTCCAATATCCTTTTTCTAGTTTAGATCTAGAGTAGACTTTACCTGGCACCCTGCTCTGATGAGGCCCTCCTCTTCCTCATTCTGGTTTCTTTTTTTTTTTTTTCCTGGTACCAGGAATCGAACTCACGACCTTGCACTTGCCAGGCAGGTGCTGTGACGTTGAGCTAAATCCTTAGCCCCCATTATTCTGGTTTCTTTCAAAGATTTTTCCTGGAGAACACTTCCTCTGTGAATTACAGGTGTGTGAATGCACCTCTGAGGTTCAACTTTCAAAAACCTAGATATATTCTATCCCACAATTTAAAATGCAGTATAAACATGCTATATCAAGAATGACAGAAAATTTCAAATTAGAGATTTCAATTATCAATTCAAATCACCAATATGATAATATAACTAAGTGGACACAAATATTAAACATGAATAGGAATATTAAATTGGAAAAATTATTTTTAAGACTTATAGAGTTATTACTTTTTAATCATTTATGGAATATTCAAGTTTCTCCATCATTACAGGATTGTATTAATTCCAATTTCAATCTAGCTTCATGAGTGAAAGAAATGGCTGAAATGATAGTTTTCATCCAGGGAACTGTGCAGCACTCTAAGAATGCCGAGAGCAGTAGTCAATAGGTTAATACAGGAAAAAATAAAGATCTGGGAGAAGTCCCTTGGGAACCAATAAATTGTCCACTGTCAGTCACAAATGAGGACAATGATCAGGTCCACTAATATACTGAATTTAAGGTGCAAGACTTGAGTGAGTCAGCCAGTGAGTAAATCACCCTGCACCTAGGTTAATTATTTAGCAGTTTTAATCCATTAAATATAGATGTTATATATACATTAAATACCCGGACAGAACGCATAAAACAAGAGGAAGGAAAAGTCTATTGAATAAATGCTTCCTAATCATCTTTTATTCATGACTTTAGGGCTATTACCTAGCATGGAAGGGAATCTCCTTCACAGCATTGGAAATTCCTACTATTTGATCAATAGCTGAAAACAATTCATTTTTTCTGCCTTATTGAGATGTATGTGTTGGTATTTTTTTGTTCAACTTAACCTTATCATGATTCTAACATAAATAAAAAGAAGTCAGTTATTTGACTCAAAAGAGCCAAGTTATTACAGTATTCTATAAGGGACAAAACATCTTACAGAACACCATAGTATTATATCTTATTTCAGTTAATCAATATTAACTTATGTGTACCTGTAAATAGTCAGATGTCTTTACCCTCATTTACTTAAGAGGGGCTCTAGGGATTCACCCACTCAACACTTAACTGCCCTTCAATTCACTTGCAATATATTAATATGAGGATTTGGAAAGCGAAACGGCATTTCAAAGAGTGAACTTTTAAATTTTCAGTTCAGAACCTCTAAAATTGATCCTTAATTAATTTTCCAACTTTATATCTGAAGTGTAAACTCTTCCACATACGATATATGTACTTCAGTCAAAAGTTTTTGAAAAAACTCGGGATTCTCTCTGTGTAGGAAACTGTCTTGGGTATTTTGGAACTTTGGGCCTTTGTGAGGCCTTTTAACTATGAGCTGGAATATTCTTGGTCCTCTTTCCTTCCTGTCCACAAGTAAACTGTGCAAGTGTTCAGCTGGCCAGTCCAGCCCCTTTGCAAAACTCCCTTTCCTAAATTCCTGCAGACCCTACTGTTGTCGCTATTTGCTTGGCATATATCATGTACTGGTGAGCTTGTACTTTCCATGTTAAACATAATTGGAATTAGGTTGACTATCTAACTTCTCAGGTATTTTCATCTAATCTCTACTGCTCTAGTGGTATGCTCTGAAGGTCTGCATTCTCCCCAAAGTCATATGTTGAAATCTTGACCTACAAGATGATGGTATTCAGTTGTGAAGACTTTTGCAAGACAAGGTCAAGAAGGTGAAGCCTTCAAAAATGGGACTGGTACCTTTATGACACAGACCACAGAGAGAAAGAACCTTGCCACTTCTTCCGTGTGAAGACACAGTGAGAAGTTGGCAGCTGTAACTCTGAAGAGGGCCCTCACCAGACCCTGAACATGCTGGCACCCTGACCCTGGACTTCCAGTTTCCAGAACTGTGACAGACAAATTTCTTTTGCTTATAAAAACCCAGCTTTTTGTTACTGTTGCTTGAATAGTCTAAGATACCTAGTTTGTTTGCTAGGAAAAGCTCAGACAGAGAATTCATTTACAGTTGGTTAGTTCTAATAGAAAATGAATGGAAATAAATCTCATAATATAAAAGTTGGAACAGTGATTCCCAACTCACAGGTTGTAGAATTTGTTTAGACAAGGGCGCAGGGAGGGCTGTACAGAGAGCAGCTTTAACGTATTATGTATATCCGCTGTCTGTCTATCTATCTATCTATCTATCTATCTATCTATCTATCATCTATCTATCCATGCATTTGTCCATGAACAGACATTTTGTTATTCTCTGCTAGTGATCCAGGCAAAAAGAACTTAAAAGCTTTTCTCACTTCATTGTAGTCATTTGTTACTATTAGATTTTCTTATTTTAATAAAGAGATTTGTAATAATTCTAGAACTATAAAGGGGATCCCCATACTTATAAATTGGCAAACTCTTACCTAGAGACTGTTAGTATAATATCGTTCATTCCTTAGGCCCTATCACTTTCAGTTTTTCTTTCAACTAGCTAGCACACAATGAATAGAGATCACATCTCTTTCTTGGGAAACTCCTAAGTATCCTACCATGGTGAATTATACTCCAAAAGGCTCAATTCCAAGTGCCAATAATCATAGCAAATCTAGGCGAGGTAGAAGCGTCCTCCTCACCTGAGAAGTTGGAATGATTGCTCCCAATATGTATATGGTAGGAGAATGAATGTTGGAGTTTCCAACACGGTTATGCCTATAGGCAATCAAGCCTGAATGATGCTTGCTCCAGGAGCACAGAACTGTTCCTTGAAAAAGGCTGCAGTTGTTCCAATCCTGCTACTGTTACATATCTTGTCTTTGATGGGATGGTGCCCCAAGCGAAAGAACTAGGAAAGAAGTGCAGCTGTGGGAATGTCTTCTTCCTTCTCTGCCTTGCACATGGTGAAAACCATTCAATTTGAGAGTATTGACTTCTCTACGTAAGACCAACATGCCAGACCACAACAAGTGCACAGCAGAAGGGAAAGTCAGGATGCTGGCTCTGGACAAATTACCAAGATATGTGAATCCACTTCCTTTGTGTGCTCTTTTTCTCTTATTCACAGTATTTCTCTAATACTCTTGTCAAGAACTACTGCTTGAAGCCTCTAAAACAGGAGGCTATGAAAGAATCATTTACATTTATCTTGGTATTTTCTGATTTTGCTATCATCTCTTCTTTTCTAATAATAGACGAATTCAAGACTTTTCAAAACATACATCCAGGTTGATGACTGGGATTTATACGAAATGCTCATAGATCTATTAATTCAGTCAACTTATGTTTCAATTACTTATTTACTTAATTCATTAATCCACTATGTGAAACCATATCTAGACTCTCATTTTTTAACATTCTATTCATTCTTGCATCTATTTAGTACTTACTGAGAATATTCTATGTGCCTCACTATTTTGTTCATTCCTGGAGATACAACAATGAGTTGAACATTGACATAATGAGGGTATTAAAGCACAGTGGGAGAAAAAGAAAGACTGCACACACAAAAAATGTAAAACACAACCACGGACTGTGTTACAGGACACAGTGGTAAGAGATGGTATAAATATCAGCAGTGGAAGGAGTTGGCCCAAGCATGGGGGTTGGCACGACTTCCTAAGGATACTCCAAGAGGCAGATGGACCAGAGATGGAGAATGGGAAGGAATTAGCGAGGAGATGGGAAGGGAAAGCCTTTCAGGCAGAAGCAGTGTGGAGGGGGCCTGTGGAGGAAAAGGGCTGGTAAATGGGCAGAACAGAAAGGTCAGTGTAGCTGAGGGGGAGGGAGGAAGGATCCTCCTGGAGTATAGACCGTTGGTCATAGTCTGGAAAACTCATGGAAGAACAAGGTTCAATAAGCCTTTCCAAATCAAGTCATCTCCCTCCAAACTGAAGTTGTGACCAAGGCAGAATGATCACAGCAGATACCAAAGCATTTCAGAATCTTTGCTCAGTTAGGAAGTACGATCTATAGATGAATAAAAACAAGCACTAAGGGGACAGTACTCCCCACTGTAAGCACCAAAAGAGGTTAGAAAGTGATCCTTTTGTATTGCTTGTAGACCTCATTACTTGTTTCTTGAGCAATGTATTTGGCCAAAAATTTCCTTACATTTTCTTTTGCATTGAACATGTATACCTGAAAAGATTCTTCTTAGTGTAGTGATTTAAACAGTTTTTATTTAATTATTGCTCTTTTCAGTATAAACACTCACCTATTACACTAAGCTCTGCGCTGGAGAAGATAACGCCATGTTTATTCTCTGCCACACACTGATACATGCCTGCATCAGAGAGATTCACTATGGTTATGTTGAGTGTTCCTTGCTCGATTTGAATTCTGTCCTGTGGAAGAAAAAAGAAATACAAAGCAATGACCTACAACTGAGACCTTAAGGCAATTTTGTCATATGCTATAGCAAAGGGATTTAATGGAAAGAAAACTGCCATTATGTAAACAATTTATATGATATGATATATGTATTTCTCAACTAAATTTGTGGCAGGTCAGATGCTACATGGAACAACCAGTACCACAGTTGGTAAATGGAATTTAAATAGTAGGATTCTCTTGACTTTTCATTAATAGTAAAGCCATTCAGATTAATATCCCCTATAAACAGATGAAATTGAAATTTTAAATGTTCTTTTCATCTCAGGCTTTGTGCTAACTAGGGAAGATAGTGTGAAAATAGAACCAGTTTTATTGTTTAGAGTTTGGAACACTGAAAGTATGAGCAGGCAACACTTTGAAGAATCATAGGATTATAATTTTCTTGGATCAAGTTGAGTCAAATATGTAACATCAGCTGAGGTTTATCCAAAAAGTGTGTATTAGTAATTTAATGTCCTTCCAGTCCACTGTTGTCTATTGTATGAGTTAAGCTTAGGACCATCTGCTGGTAGCCAATAGGAAGGACACAAGGACACTGCATGGTATAGGAGACTGTTCTTACTCGTTACCCTGAATACATGCAGCTTGTTCATCAGTTTCTGTAAGTATCAAAAAGAATCTCCTCCTGTGCAGGACACATGCCATTTAAAAAAGAAAAAAATAAGCTCTGGCTTTCTGTTTGTTGCAGGGTTTCAATTTAGCTTAGTGGACACTTTCATCAAATGTAGGCACTCTGGTCCCTCACATTACGTAAAAGGAAGAAAATGCCAGTTATATGGGTACTACTACCCTAGCAATTTGTGTAAATTTAGATTTCAGAACTGACAGAATCATGGGCCAGCAGAAACCCTCCAGTGATAGAGGGAGTGTGTGAGACAGGGGCTGCTCAGGAGAAATAGTCCCCATTTTCCTTCTGTGGCCCAGAGCAGGCACTTTCTTTGTTGTCCTGGGGGGCAACAAGAAAAAATAGCTCTTAGTTTTGAGCCTGAGGAAAATGTTAAATCCCAGTTAACATTTGAAGTTTAGTAGGAAAACACAATAAGGAAAATTAAACTGGACACAATTGTTCCTCCATCCGAGTGCCTCTGAGCCTTACCTGGACTTTTTTCAGATCACTTTGTCAGTCTTATTCCATCTAGATGGGCATTCCTGTATCATATTCCTTCTCTTGTAGTATATCCTGGGATGTATTTTCCTTTGCATTTTAGTAAAACTACATATTCCAGACAGTCTATGTAACATATGCATTGTAAACCTATAAATGTTAACCTGGGAATATCAAAGATTTAGCATAGAAGTTCAGCTGGACAGAGCTGGCGTCCTGGATTTATTTATAATTTTTATTTGTCAACTGCATTCCATTTTCCACTATTCATGCCATTTAACTGTTCTTTGCCATGGGAACAACTCACCATTTTCCTGTTTCTATAGCAAAGAGGCCATATGAAGCACTTCAGTCGGTGCTTAAGACACATTTACTATCAGTTTGCTTACCCGAGTTAACAGTGGTTCGCCATTTTTTAGCCACCTGTATGTAGGCTTGGGCCTCCCGTTTGCTTTACATTCCCAAAAGACTTTCTCTTCCATGGCCACATGGATATCGTTTATTTTTTGGATCCAATTAGGTTGAGCTATATCAGTTCAAAAAGCAAAGAAACGGCACATATTTAGTGTATGCTTACTAATATGCAGTTATAGGATTTTAATAAACTGTATTTTCCAGATATTATACAAATATCAAGGCTGGCTACAAGTTCAGTGGGGAAATCTATGCCCTCCTCTGAATACCATCTGTGGTCCAGATAGCTGGTCTTTTTTATTCACTGAAGCCAGAGTGGATAAAACATTCCTAATCCATATACAGAACTAACTGTGTATCTCCTTAAGTATGTATTATTATTTTATTTTCTTTTCTTAGTAGGGCAAACTTCCCGTACCATCCCATCACCTTTGGCTGGGCTTGCGAATTCCCAGGTACACACTGCTTTTCTGGATCTGACTGCAGCAGAAGGAAGCCTTGTGATGAAGTTCATGCCAATTGTATGTGTGTGAAAAGGGGAGGGTAACTTCCAGGTTATTTACTTACACACTTGCCCCAGATTCTTCTTGCTCCCTTATAATTATTGTGTGCAAAACAGTAACAACTTAAACAGCTGTGGACACAAATGTGGAAGCTAACAGAGGATGGAATTAGTGACTTAACAACCTTGATCATGAATGACCTTGTAGAAATCAGCTCTCAAGCCCTGTACTTATTTTTGGAGAGATTAGGAAAGAAAGAAAGAAATTTCATATTTAAGCCACTGCATTTGGGGGTCTCATTTGTTAATACAGCTTACACTGTCCCTAAGTAACATGCTGAACTCACACATGTCATACAGACCCTCTGTAATTTTTTTCTCCTTTAAGAAAGATGAGATCATTGTTTATTATTGACCGATTCCACATTTATAGGAAACTATAAACGACAATACGGCTCTAGAGGCTCAAATCTTTGAGTAAATTCAAGCTTTTATAAAACCTTAAAAGCCAAGTTCTACCTAGAGTTTAACAAAGGAATCAGGAGTACAAATTAATTCAAACATTGCCCTCTGCCATACACTATTCCCACAACCCAAACTTATCCCACTTTTCATGCTTCGACTGAAGAAACTATTTTCCCCTCCTTTGCCTCCAATGGATAAAATAATGTTAATCCCATGTTTCATAAAAAGTCTTCCTAAATATCAATCCTTGCCTCAAGCACAGTACACACTGTTAACTATAATGGCAAATATAGTAGGTAGACTTTTTGTCCACAGTCATGTGGAAAAACCATAGCTCTCATTTAGAAATGGTATGTGCTCATAAGGCATTTTTATAGGGTACTGCCTATGATATAAAGCTAATAATGAGGGTTGATAGCAGTATTTAATTAGAATATGCTGCTCGATCTTCTTAACATGTATTTTAGGTGACTTGACTCCAGTATCTTCATTCAGTGAAACTCCAGATCATCCATAATTTAATTCAAAATGAAATTGCTTCTGTGGAGGTCAAGCTGTGCAGCATACCTTCTCAATAATAAACAAAACTAAAAAAAAAAAAAACACCCCATGAATCATTTAACCAGCAGAGGTCTCTAGGTCCTTGAATAAAAGCTGCTTTCTTCTATCTATAAGCAATTTCATGTATTTCAAAGAACAAAACAGAATTTTACAAATCCTTTTTTGATGGGGATGATGCATGGCTGCATAAGAGGGAAGGCCAACAGGGTCAACTTCAAAAAAAAGTTATAACATCAACAAGCATTAACTTGAATCAAGGGTTATAACCTACATCCTTGAAAGAGCTGCAACTTGGCCGCAGCTCTACATCTTCCCGCTGCTAATGCATAGGAAGCTCAAAAGGCAATACTTTTCCAGATCTCTCCTGGGAGAATCCAGTGCTCAATACTGATAGGACTAATGGCAGTTGTGTGCCTGATTTCACATTCAACCTGCTGAATATTTACCTCCTACAGAGCTCAAGGAAACAAAGCGAACAAGAAAAGTCACAGAAATCGGCGTGGAATATTAACAACAAAGCCGAACTTTTGAAAGATAGTGAGGAAAAAAGAATACACAGGTAAATGTAGATTATGAAGCAATGTCAAGTTGAAGTTCAAAAAGGAAACATCAAAACCACACAGAGAGAGAGAGATTTCCATGTCACAGACTTCGCTGCAATACCTGTGCTTTTTGGTGATTTCTTTTAAAAAGTACAGAAAGCTAGAAGCAAAACCCTGCCCTGTCAAAAGGATATGGGGCAGAGAGGGGAGGGCTTTGAGAGAAATCTGAACAGACTGCGAACTTCTAATTAGACAATTCTGAGAGCTCATTCTGTCTCTTCCAAGAGGGTTACAGAAGTCAAGGTGCTCAACAAGAATGCACAATAGTAGTTGTTTGTGCTGGCCAAGGTGAAATTATTATTTGATGTAGTGTTTGTGAACCATCATCATGCACTTTTTTTTAAAGGTAAAATCAATTCATAGAAGCCAAACCTGACATAATATAAACATATTCCTTTCAGAGTGTGTATCTGGACATATGCTTGTAGACATCAGGAATGGAATATCATGTGAGATAAAGAAAAAGAATGAGCTAGTATGTATTTTAACATGTTACCTACAGATCTACAGGACAAAATTCACATACTTAAAAGTTTTCACTCTTACTTACTGAGATTGCATGAATCATATCTAAGTTGGTGAGATTTTTGTACTAAAATAATGCCCACACAAATGATATTTACTACTTAATATCAAATTTCAATTACAATCTTCAACTTCATATCTAATTATCAGCTCAGCAAACGCCCAAAATGGTTGGCTCAGTACTAGTATTCCAGAAATATTCTTAAACATGTTTTCTTTGGTATTATATGTAGAGCCCTCATTTTATACTGAATTGAGCAATTCTCTTATTCAAATAGAAATATCTGTCTTTAACTTTTGCATTCTTTCAAAGGTATAAAAGACATCCTAAATCTTGTTTTAAGCTACAAATGTAAATATGTTTAAATTAAATCCCTTAGAATCACAGCAGACTTCTCTACACAAACCTTAAAGGTGAAGAGGGTTTGGAGTGAAAGGTTTCAACCCTTATAAGATAACAACCTCTGATCTCAACTGATGTATCCGGAAAGACACTCCTTTAAAACTGATGGAGAAATAAGGTATTTCCATGAGAAGGAGCACCTCAAGAAATTCATGACCACCAATCCACCTACAAAACATTCTCAAGGATCTCCTAGGAAGAGACAATGAAGCCAACAATGTCACGAAGACAAAAAGAATGAATATACCTGTTAGGACAAGCAGCTAAGCAAAAAAGGAAAAAATGAAGTCAGCAACAGGAAAATAATGCAATGACAAGAATAAGTCAGTACCTCTCAGTAATAACTCTCAATGTGAATGGTCTCAGTTCCCCAATCAAAAGACACAGACTGGCAGAATGGATCAAGAAAGAAAACCAACAATATGCAGCATACAAGAAACACATGTAATTAAAAAAGATTATAGTCACAAATTAAAAATCAAATGATATAAAATAATATTACATGCAACAGGAACCCAGGAAAAAGGAGTAGCTATCCTAGTTTCAGATACAGTGGGTTTCAAGCTAAGACTGAGCAGAACAGAAAAAGAAGGTTATTATATATTAGTTAAGGGGACATTTTAACAGAAAGAGTTAAAATTATAAACATATGTGCACCAAGCACAGGTACATCCAACTTCAAATGCAAACACTAATGTATGTAAAAAATTAGATAATAACCAACACAGTCATAGACGGGGATCTCAAAAATCTACTGTCACCAATAGACAGATCAACTAGACAACATAATCAGTGATATCAGAGTTGAACCAAACCTTTGAACATAAATGGATTTAACAGATACCTTAAACAGAGTGTTCCATCCAACAACCAAATACACATTCTTGTCAGAAGCACATGGGACTTGCTCCAAAACAGACCACATACTTGTCACTAAAGCACACTTCAGTATGTAAAAGAATTAAAATTATGCCAGGCATATTAGATCATAGTGCAATGAAATCAGAGCTCAATGACAAAAAAACATATAAATATGCACAGATATGGAAATTAAACAGTACCCTCTTGAATAATGAGTCAGAGATGAAATTAAAAAAGAAATTAGACAGTTTCTACAATCAAACAATAATGTCAGTATGACATATTGGAACTTATGGGATGCAGTGAAAGCAGTCCTAGGAAAGTTCATAGCAGTGAATTTTCAAATCAGAAAAACAGAACAAGCTCAAACAAGTAATCTAATGATACATCTCAAGATCTGAGAAAAACAAGAACAATCCAAATCCAAAGCTAATATAAGGAAGAAAATGATAAAGATGGGGCAGAAATTAATGAAATTGGGACTAAAAGAACAATACAAAGAATGAATAAATTGGAGAGTTGGTTCTTTGAAAGATTAAATTAAATAGACAAACTTTTAGCTAATCTTAACAAAGTAAGGAAAGAAAATACCCAAATCAACGCAACCAGAAATAAAAAAGTTGAAATCACAATAGATTTTGCTGAAATTCAGATTGTAAGTAACTATTTTGAGAATCTGTACTCTTAATAAAATGAAAATTCAGAGTCAATGGATAAATTCCTAGCTATGTATGAACTACCGAACCTGAACCAAAAGGATAAAAAAATCCTAAATAAGTCAATATCCATCAGTGAAATTGAAGAAATAATAAAAAACATTACCAGCTAAGGAAAGCCCAAGCCCTCACATATTTGCTGCTGAATTTTATAAGAACTTCACAGAAGATCTAATGCCAGCGCCCCTCAAACTATTTAACAAAATTGAAAAGGAAGCAGCACTCTGAAAATCATTCTTGGAAACAAGCACTACCCTCATTCTAAAACCTGAAAAGGACTCCACCAAAAGACAGATCTATAGACCAAACTCAATGAACACAGATGCAAAAATCTTACATAAAATACTGACAAACAAAGTGCAGAAAATCCTCAAAGAGATCATACATCACAGCCAAGTAGGATTCATTCCAAGGATGCAGGAATGGTTCAGTATATGCAAATCAATAAATGTAATACACCATATCAACAAGCCAAGG